TTTGGAACCTTTCTTCCTGTGTCCACCTTCCATCCATCCCTTCATTCTTAGTTTCCTTCGTCATCCAACAGGTAGTTTAGCAAGAGGTGCACCAACTAAAAATGGTAGGTCAACTTGTGGCCATTGTATTTTATCTGTCATCGGCTCAATCTCTCTTCCATAAGCAGCCCTTAATCTATTGACCGAATAGTAGTCATGCACAAACTGTTCTACGTCAACTCCCTGATGGCGGGTTACATAGGCCAATACATGTTGACATGGCTTGCCAGTGTGCTGCCATTCAAGACAAGTACAGGTCCTTTGGTGTAACTTGATAATATGCCTCTCAGCTCGGCTGCTATGGTCCCACACCTCTGCACTCCAATTAGAACATGGTACAATTTTCAAATGTCCCAAACCTCTAGTATTTGCCTTTAGCTGAACCATAATAGCTGGAAGTAACCTGCCTTCAGGTAGCCTGTATGCAATATTTCTTCTCTTGTTCCAAACTACCATGATCATTTCTCTGATCTTATCAGCAAGGTCAGCAACAGGTAAGTCTTTATGGCCTCTAATCCAGTTATTAAATGACTCAGCAATATTACTAGTTATGTAATCACACTTAATTTCTGAATTGAAACCACACCTATACCATAATAACTTATGATTGGTCTGTAACCATTTCACTGCTTGTGCTGATTCACCACACCCAACACTGGAATATACTAAGAATGAAACATATGCCTGCAGAATAAAATATGATGGAACTCCCTAAAAGGCTGAAACACAGAAAAAGTTCAAAGTACAGACACATTTTTGGAACTGATTTTCAGCAAGAGTTCAAAGCACCATCATAGAAACATATGAACTGTAGGATGTATCGGTACTACAGAAGTACATAGAACACATTTTTGGAACTGATTTCAGCAAGAACAATTAAACAATTGGGTGAAAGACAAACCAAATATGTGTATATGTCTGAACTGAAATTATTTTCTCAAATAATCAGTCATAGCTTCATATGCCTAGATGGACTATCTCAGCCAAGTTTCCAGAATTCAGTAACAACAACATATTCTCAAATAATCAGGCATAACATATTTTCTAATATCAAACTGGTGGAATGATTAGGTCTACAATATTTTATTTTGAAAATCCTCAACAACAGTCCATCTTATTGGTTATTGCAGTGTTGCCAATTCATTGAAGATCCTATGGCATCTCTCAATATACAATATTCAGAACAAAAAATTTTGACTGCTTATTTCAAATCCTTTTTATCACTCTAAAATAGTAGAAGAAACTCAATGCATGTCATCTTCTACATCCACTATAATTTTCAGGCAGAGAACTATTTAGGAATAGTTGTATGTGAAACTGAAAATGCTCAAGTTTACCTGTATATGCACAATAAAGAAGCAGCAGAACAAGTTTCCAAAATTCAACGACCCTACATGGAAAGAAAATGCTTGGGAGATAGAGAGTACAAGACATGGAGTTCTACTCAGTTCTCAGTATCATATAAACTAGATCATGATCCATTCTCTCAGATTCCAGTCAATGCAAAATCACAGACTCTTACTACTCCCATCCAAGATCTACAAGAAATATTTCTTCACATTAACATGCCCAATAGCAAATCACAGACTACTCCCATCCAAGATTCCAATCACGAGAGGAAGGGGCCAAGTGAGCATATCTACAGGGGGACTCGACGGCGACGGGAGGAGTGGCAGGGGAGGGGAGACTCGATGGTGACGGCGACCGGGGACGAGCCACGTGGCGCACCGCGGGGATGAAGGAGCCGCAAAGCAGGGCGCGCTGCAGGGAGGGAGGAGCCGTGCCGCGTGGCTGCCACAACTGACGGCGGCGGCTGCCCACTCTTATGTGAATATGACTGAAGGGCAATATGGTCATCCCATGGCAAAATACATGTATTTGAAATGAGAAAAGTGATTAAAATGATCAAATGTCATGTAAAACAAAGTGCCAACGTTTCAAATGTCATTTTAGCGAAGTCGACGATTGAAGTCCTATAATAACGAAGCCCATTGTTTCGCGTCCTTTAATAGCAATTTTCTCGGCGCCGGACGGTGCGGCGGAGGATTCATATCTCGTGGAGTCTGCTCCTGGTGAGATCACGGCGCGGCTGTCCAATGGATTCGTGGGCTGGATCCTGAGCCGGAAGTGGGTGGCGTTCAAGGAGGATCCGAACGACTACTACGACCGGATGATCGACGACCCCGACAGGCCGGAGGAGTACACGCTGGAGTACCTCGAGGAAGAGAGGGACACGATGCGCGAGTTGGTCGCACACAACAAGCGCTCTCGTGACAGCTTCGAGAAGTTCCAGGAGTGGGTGCGCCGCTAGCTCGACGAGAAGGGCTACGTCGAGGTTGGTGAATCCTACATCGCGCAGTGTGCCATTAACCGTCGTAGCATCACCCCGGAACTGTGGAGTGCCCTGATGGGTGAACTAGATGATGATGATGAGGGTGTGGTGAGGCCAGGTACCGGAGGGATTACCATCGAGTCCAACTAAATGCCGAGCGCGTGGTTTATGGCATCGTTCGTTTCGCTGAAAAAACAAGCCGAAACACTGTCCCGGCCGATTTGTTGCGAGAGAAAAACACTGTTCTGGCTGAAAAAACAAGCTGAAAAATACGGATTATAAGAGAAGCGAACAAGACCATATATATCCATTATATCTAGTCTATCTTTGTTATATAGTTGCAGTAAGTTATGCTTAGATATTGGCTAGTTAACTATGTAGTGGGTAGTGCCTATCACCTCCCTGGGGTATAAAGTTATGTCTGGTTAAGGGGATTAAGTTATGTCTGGTTAATTATGTAATGCCTATCACCTCCCTGTGGGATTAAGTTACTGTTATCTGTTAATTATGTAATGCCTTTCACCTCCCTGTGGGATTAAGTTATGACTGTTATCTGCTAATTATGTAATGCCTATCACGTCATGATTGATGCTGGTATGCTAATATAAATATGTTGGGCCATGCTGTGCCCCCGTCCCTGCGAACAAACATGCCCTAGGCTTATTATTAAATCATGCCAAGCTCCATCCCTGCTTGCAAGGGAGAAATCAAGGCATTGGTGGCTCTTCCACCGACATGAGCCACCGCACTTTTTTCAAGGGATATTTACTTTTGGCCATCCTTATGGACGACATCTCGTCGTTTTTTAGCTTTATGCATGCACCTACAAATTTGTAATCCCAAACAGTAAACCTTATATGCTTTTTGCCACTTTCACTGATGAGCCACGCCACGTGGGCATGCCAGCGCGGTAGCGACCCTAGGAACCCTCACGCAACACGGGAAAGACAGTTTTGTCCTCTCCGCATTCTCTTCTCTGGCGACGGCGCGGCCGCTCCTCCTTCTCCTTCCTTGCGAGGATCGCAGCGGCCCCACGATGCGCATCCTGTGTGTGAACACGCAGCTCTAGAGTCATGGCCAGGGCGTAGCCGACGTGCGTGAAGTGCGGCCGTGGGAGCCGATGCTGCACCCTAATGGCCTACACGCTGTATCGGTAGCTCCACCCATGCTACCGGTCCTCCACTCTTAGCCCCGAGAACCTAGACCTCAACCTTCTCCGGTATCCACCTGCCGTCAACGGCATCGTGGGAGATGACGCCCAGCCTCCCATGCGCCTCTGCGAGGCCCCTGGCAGCATTTGTGGCCTCCGCAAGATCGAACCGTGCCACCGGGGGAGGTTGTGGCCACGGCGGTGCATGCCCGCGTCACCGCTGGGTCATCGACGCCGCGGCAACAGCTCCTCTTGCGCTGCGCGAGCTCAGGGACGGGGTGGCCGAGAGCGACCGCAATCGGAAGCTCATTGCAGTGGACGTCCTAGCCGCGGTGTTCGCGGCGTCGACGACAACGATGGCCAGCAAGTCGTCGAACAGTAGCACCGGGTCATCTCCTCTTTCCAAGTCACAGAGCAGTCAATTTGTCGTGTCACCGAGGCGAACGAGGCGCTCGTCTCCGCACTGCGGCGGTCCAATGCCGCATCCAGGACGTTCATGGCGCTGCTCTTGGAGCGCGTCACAGAGCAGGCGTTCGGGGAGGCCGTGGAGCTGCTCTACGACAAGTGCCCTGTCCCACAACCAAAGCGTCGTTGCGCGTGCTCGTGCGCACGACGGCGTGGGGCCGTAATCGCGTCAAGGCGGTGGACGCTGGCGCGGTGCCCGTGCTCACCGACATGGTCACACATGGCGCGGAGGTGGCGGCCACGGGAGTGTTGGAGGTGGCCAAGGACAAAGTGGTGAGGGCGCTGTGGTCCGTGGCAAGGCACGCGGCACCGACGACGGTGGTGCAGGAGATGGCACAGGCCCGTTGCATGCGAGGGCATGGCGAACCTTACCGTGCTTGCATCATCACCCCTAACCGTGATGGAGGATGGAGAGGAGGTGGGTGAAGAGCGCGGCTCGCAGTCATGGAAGTGTGGGGCAGCGGGAGAGGAGCGGCCAAGGGAGTTCAGCAAGGAGAAGGCCGCTGGCGGCACGGGAAAAGTGTGGCGGTGGTGGTCAAGAATAGCTCGCCGCCACTTGCACCGTCGCATGGGAAGAGAGTGGGGACCGGCACTGGGGCCCATAAGACAGGAGACAGGGGCAAAATTGTCTTTTCTCATGCCGTGGGAGGGTTCCTACAGGATCGCTTGGTGTGCCACATGATCGAAAGTGACAAAAACGTTAGATGCACATATAAAACTGGCAATCCATGAGGATATGAAAAGAAAGTTAAATATCCCTATAAAAAAAAGTTAAATATCCCTTTCGTTTTCAAAAAGGCCTTCGTTTTCTGATAAACTGTCCCGCAGTGTTGGCTTCGAGCCCAGCCCGAGTCCGACCGAATGCCTCTGCCCCACTGCCCCCTCACCCTCATATATATGTGGAGACGCGCCGCCGCCGCTTGACCCGATCGAAACCTAGGGTTCCAAAATTGTAAGCATCCGTCCCCAAATCGTCGGTGAGATCCTTGAGATTGAGATCAGGCGAGGGTGGCGATGAATCGCGGCACCACGAGCGTTAAGGCGGCGCGGCGGAGCAGATCCGTCGATGAGGGCGCATCCTGCGGGGGCGATCTGCCGATGCGGTGCGAGTACAAAACCAGGGACGCGAAGGAGGCGGGGACTTGGTCCGTTGAGGTTTGCGTGCCGAAGGATGCGGTGGCGACCGGGAGGGAAGCTGTCAAGGGCCATCGGGTGAAGAAGGAGGCGGGGATCTGGTCCGGTGACCTTCGCGTACCGAAGAATGCGGTGGCGACCGGGAGGAAGGTGGGCAAGGTTCGTCCGGTGAAGAATCTCTCCAAGTTGAAGACGGCGGCCGCCTCCTTCGAGGCGAAGAAGCCTGGTGCTGCTGCATCGGCGGCGGGAGGCGTCACCAAGATGGAGAAGCACGCTGGTGATGTGACCTTGGCGGTGGCCGCGGAAGCAGACACTGCTGGCAATGGCAAGGAAGGCGGTCTGAGGCTGAGGCAGGAGTTTGTTGACCTCGTCTCGTCCTGGAAGCCGGAGGTCTTCGAGGACCCCGATGAGCACTACGCCCGGTTGATCAACAACCCTGCCTTCTCCCAGGACTTCGTCGAGAGGAGCACAAAGCTCCAGCAGGACCTCGTCGCAATGTCCAAGTTTTGCGCCGCCAGGATGGAGAAATTCCACGCTTGGGTGCGCACAGAGGTCGAGGAGAAGGGCTACGCGGAGGTCGATAACTACATCCCGGAGGGGGAGGATGATGATTTTGCCCTGGCTTTTGGACCCATGGATGGTGTCGTCTCAGAGGACGAGGATGGTGTATTTGCCCAGGCTTTTGGACGCATGGATGGTGTCGTCGCAGAGGACGAGGATGATGAATTTGCCCTGGCTGGACCCATGGAGGACTGAGACGAGGTGTTTGTTTCAACTTGATGAGATGCTGAAATCTGGCTGTGCTTGTTATCTGTCTATCAATCTATATGTGATCTATTTAGCTATGCTTTATTTATGTGTCGACTAAGTTATGTAGAATTGGTGTTGTTTATTAATAATGCTTATCGGATCTTGTAACAACCAATTAAACTATGACTGATGTTGGTAAGCTAGTTTATTACGAGTACCTGTCATTGGTATCTATCTATAATATATAATGGTAGGCTTTCCTATCTTCCTGGGTTGTGGGTTGTGCGGATATTCTTATGCGTTTCTTATTCACGGAAATATCAATACTGAGCATCAGAAGGTCGCATTACTTTATTCTTTTATAAGCATGTGTTTTCGTCGTGGAACATTGCAAGATCAGCCCTTCATTCTGTTCTTCTAGAACTTACCTCTTTGACCTTTTTGATTGATGTGGTACATGTTAATATTCTTCTCTATTAGCTTGTTCAAACATAGGATGGTTGACTCAGGACAAACTCAAATCCCTTGTTTGTAGGATGTAGTGACGAGTCAACCAGTTCAAATCTCTATCTGTGTCTTTCTTTATTATGCTATATGTTTGCAGTAAGTTATAACCCCTGAGGATGTTTAAGTTATGTTGACTGATGATTAATGAGTTGCTACCAATCATACGCATCTGTGCTATATGATGATGTTTTGTTTTATGTTCCATCTAAGCTAGTAAGCTACAACTGAAATCAAGTTATGAGAAACTATCATGTGCTTTTGCTGTTAGCCTGTTGCAGTATGTATGTTTATCTTGCGTCTTTGCAAATAAAACTTGGGAATGTTGGATTAGTCTTGATAAGAGCAACTTGTTTGTGTTGGATTTATGTTGATTATACCACCAGTCCTGGTCTGCATCATGTGACGGTGTCCTTATTGTGGATTATTAATCATCTTTTCTCTGCGTACGAATCCAGCTTCCATATTTTGTTTATAATATAGTGGATAGTGGATTACTTCTTCCGCAAAAGGTGGATATGAGCAACATAGTAAACTTATTAGCTCTTGCTTTTGTTGTTGTGGTCATTTCAGGTCTATGTATCTATCTATCTACCTGTGTGGTCTATTAGCTATTTAGCTATGCTTTTATGTGTGTGCTAATAGCTTGTCATCTCTCGTAGCAACCAATTAAATTATGAGTTTGTGACTATGCCCAACATTAGTATATCTCTTAAAAAATGAAGCTGCTATGGAAGAGAGGAAGCTAGTTTTCAGCAGCCACATAGTTAGATTGAGTACACGTTCTCCCGTGCCAAAAGCAAGAAGCATCGGCAATTCGGCATCTCGCGGCCGGAGAGGCAGCCAGCTAGGAGGCAGGGCAAGGCGGATGGCAGCTGCTGACGCGATGGCCGGTGCGACTACAGACAACGGAGGCGCCGTGACGATGGTAAAGATGGCGGAGATGCCGGTGGAGTTCCTCCGGTGGGTGCTGTCGCAGGACAAGGAGGACTACCGCGTGCCTACGCTGGAGGACTACACGAAGGAGGAGCTCGCCGAGGCCAAGGACACCATCTGCAGCGTCATCCGCTCCCTGCAGATCGCGTACGACGAGTTCGACGAGTTCCGGGCCTGGGTCCGCGACGTGATCGACAACAATGGCTGCGTCATGATCCACGAGGACATGCTCTTCTCGGATCCCAAAGAATGGCAGGAAAGCGTCAACGCGGAGTGGGCAGAGGCGCGGCAGGAGCTGGAGATGGACCTGACGAAACCACTCGGCCCGCACCTGTACATGTTGTCTACATACGTATCTTTCACTCTTGTATCACTATGCAGCGCACATGCATCCTGACGTTTTGAGGGCCTTAGCTATATATGGGTGACAAAAGAATTAATATTAAGGCCAACAGCCAATGTCGTAGAACTGTAGCAGCTACCGACATGTTTTTTTTCATGTTTTCATCTAATTCTTTTTCCGTCTTGGGTACAGTTGACTTTTGGTAATTAATTTTATATAAGACTTAATTTACACTAGAGCAAATACAGTGGAAAGAAATTTTCATTAAAGAAATGGGAAAATTGGTTGTGCGAAAGATCGTGATCTCCGTGCAATACCATCGAAAGTTTGCGCCCTCGTAAAATATCACCGAAAGATTGAACCGTGAACTGAAAATAACATTATATTAAAATAAAAGCGACAAAAGTGATGGAACTGAAAGTAGCTTCTGTCGCGCCGTTGCGCGGGATGTTCTCGTGAACGCTCGCCGCGAACAGGAACAGCTCCTGCGGCACCACCGCCACCACGTGCCGCAGCACCCGCAGGTTGTGCTTGCGCACGTCCTTGCCGTCCTGGCTCTCGACCCACCGGTCCTGCCCCGCGCTGATGCCTCTCCCCGATCCCGATTTATGTGCCTGTAACCTGCGTGGGATGGAGGAGGAGGAGGAGGGCCCCTACGGCGGGACGTCCTCAACCGCATCGGCGACATCAAGGTACTCGACAGCTGCGTCCTCGTCTCGCGCCGCTTCCATGCGCTCGTGCTGCTCGTCAACTCCGTCTTCGTCTGCGTCGACTGTGTCATCCCGACGACCCACCCCCCTCCTCCTCCTCCGCCATATCGGGCTCCCGGCCGCACCAGGCGCTAGCTGCGCGTGCGGCGTGTTCGTGCACATTACGCGTGACCTCATTGGCGTCATCGCCACGCGCTCGGCCAGATCCTGTCCCCCGCCGCGGCGGGCATCTCCTAGTGCTCCGAGCCACTGCCCGCTTCCTTGTCCGTGCCCGCCGCGGACGTCTCCCACCAGTCCACCACTCGCGCTCCGAGGTGCTCCGCTCAGCTACGGTGCCTCCACATCGAGCTGCCCACGGGCGAGCTCGGCACTGACGATGGCGTGCTCCTAAAGTGGAAGGCCGACTTTGGCTCCATCCTCGGCAGCTACGTCATCATCGGCGCCTCGTCGATCTCATCCAAGCCACCGACAGGGCCATGGTCCGATGGTGGCGAAGGTGATGCGCTGCGTCTGGCGCGGGAACCTGCTGCTAGACGTGTGCTTCTTCAACTCGGCAAGGACGCGTGCTTCTGGCTGCCGGAACCTGCTAGCGCTGGTGCAGTGGTTCTACGAGCCCACGTCTTGGCGCGTGCTCCTATATGGCAAGGACGTGCGCAAGCACAGTCTGCGAGCGCTGCAGGTGGTGGCGAGGTGCCGCAGAAGACGTTCCTGTTCGCGGTGAGCATATGCGACAACATCACGTACGGGCGCGACAGAGGCTTTCGTCCCTTCCCTGACTTCATTTTAACATAATGCTACTTTCAGTTCACGGTCCAATCTTTCAGTGGTATTTTACGGAGTCCTAAACTTTCGGTGATATTTCATAGAGATCGCGATCTTTGGATGCTACACAACCAAGCATATTCCTTCAGAACTTGTTGCATGAGTACTACTAGTTTATACATGTTATATCCATATATCTTATACAAACTTACATATCTCTATGTCTATCTACTCTACAACTAAAAAAGAGCTTACTACCATGGTAGCCTAGAGCTGGGGCTTAGGCCGTGCCATTTGAGGGTGGGTTATGGCACAGTCTTTTAGCATGGCACGACACGACACAAAATATGTTGGGCCATGCTGGCATGACACGAACACAAGGGTCATGCCGTGCCCAGGATCTCGGCACCACGGGCTACATGGCCTAGACCGCATTTCATGCTTGGGTTGGCACGGCACGAAAATGGCATGTAGACACATCTACAACTCTTCAATACAATTCGATAATGATCTAACATGGGCATCCGTCTGTGACTCTCATCCGGATGCAGCTCCATAGGAGCGGGCCCTATCTCTCTCCGAAACAAAAAAAGAAATCCCCTCTCCCTAGTATGCTTACCCGCTCAGCCCCGAAGCAGCGTGGCCGCTCATCCGTCCGCCCTCTTCTCCCACCGTGCCCTCGTCGGGCTGTCACGCCATGCCCTTCCCCCATCTCGGCCATGCCGCGTGCCCTCACTCCCTGCGCCGCTCACCTGCGTCCTAGTCACATGCGCTGCTCGCTCCCTCGCCATCCGTCCATCGCCCATCGCCGTCGGGCGAGCCAAGGGCACCCACGAGCGTGGCTAGTATTGGTGGGGCTCGTGCGCCGCCGTTCGCTGCCGGATCCGGCCACCCTGACGACCGGAATCGACCGGCCTCGGCCTTCCTCTCTCCTATGTTGCAAATGTATGTTTCAAGTGTTTCGTATGTTTCAGAGGTATGTTGCAATTGTTATATATGCATGTTGCAAAAGTAGATCGAGATTTTGCACATGTTGCATATTTTTGCAAGTGTTTTCAGTAGTACGTTGCAAACGTTTTGAAAAAAATGTTTCGTCTATTTTCAAACGTATGTTGTAGCAAGTGTTTGATCTGGATGTTGCAAGGGTTTCACACACATGTTGGAAGTGTTTTATCTGGATGTTGCATATGTTTCATACACATGTTGCAAGCGTTTATCTGGATATTGAATATGTGTCACATATATGTTGTATCTAAGTGTTTCATGTTGCAAGTGTTTCACGTGGGCACGTTATATGATGGGAGCATGGCCCGGGTGCCGAGGAATGGGGCGCGACAGAGCTGGGGACCAGCGAACGGGGGCAGAGAGAGCTGGGGCCGGTTCCCGGGTTCCGCCCACGCGGAGAGAGAGGAGGGGGTCAAGGGGAAGGAGCGGGGCACAACAGGGGATGGGGTGAGTGTGCGAGGTGGGGGCAGGCTGCGTGGCCGTCTATCCGGACACGAGAAGTGGCGGGTGCAGCGATCGAGGGTGGGGTGCACGTGTGAGTCAGAGAGAGCCAGACGGATACGGGCTGCACGGGCCTCTGAATGTCTGGGCGCTAGCCACGCCCAATGCAATTTTCAGCATTTACTGTACTACCTCTCATCTAATTGTGTAACAAATTATGAAAATCGTTAAAACTTTTATGAAAATAGTACACGCAAGATGTATATTTTTTATATCACAAGCGAAAAAAGAAAACCAGCAGAGAT